AGCATAGAGTCAATACGACAACAGAAGTCGACAGAATAAAGTGGAATCCAAGGGCTACCATAATAAGGTAACTAAGTTTTTATATTAAGTATAATAGTGTATCAGACATAACATACGGTTTTTACAATTTTTAAAATTATTTTTTTTACGTAAATGGATATTTATTGACTACTAAAAGGAATCAATTTTTATAGTTTGACTCAATATAAATAATTCAGCACTATTTATTGTCATTGTTTACTTCTTTTAACTTTTCAATGCTTATCCAAAAAATATCTGTTCTTGAAGAAAGCGATCTTTCCACGTTTTTGATCATGTGATTATGTTTGATCACACTTCGACAAGAGTTATGATCATAAGTTAGACGTCCTTAAAAAGTGCCTTAAAGATTACAGCTGCTTTTGATATCTCATAAAAATGTTTCGTAGTGTTACGTATACTTTTTATTCATACTGTTTTTTTTCTTTAAATTTACTTATATACAGTCCAATACCGCAAATTTTAAAAAAAACCTTCTTTGGGTATAATATATACATATGTTAATGAGTCATTCCAAAATGTTTGTTTATTTGTATATGATTATTTAAAAGTATTTATATCCATACTTGTACATAATATTAACTTTAATGAGGTGTAGATGAATGTCTAACACAAGCAATTAAAAATTTTTTTGTAATTCATAAATAAGATGGATTTGTCTTGATTTTAGAAGTGAATGACTCAAAGAACAATTAAAAGTAAAAGTAATGCTACAATAGCAAATAAGTAAATTAGTGATAGACTATAATAAAATTAACCTTTTATATTTAGTTAGCAAGACCGAACATAATACAGTATTATATACTGTAATGGCGGCTTGAGGTCTACCATAAATTGATTATATTGTTGTCAAATTTAGAAAACAAGTGATTGTAAGAGCAAAAACCCACACTACAACAACAAGTAGTTTTTAAAATATATAATACATTACGATAAAATATATTTAGCTGCACAATATTACATAGGGGTCTCATAGCAATCACAATTCATATTTTCGTGAAATTTTTATCTTGAATTTAAATTTCAATGTAAATTATTAGTTATTCTTGAGTATGAGTTTCTTTAAAAAATATTTGACAAATTCTAACAAGATGTACAATATATAGAATACGTTTAGAGCTTTAACTGAAAACTTGATATATTAAATATTTTGAAGTCAAAAATTTGAAAATAGGAAAAATTTGAACCCTGAAATGGCAGTAATAATGTTTATGAGTAAGAGACCATTAATTATATCTGATGTTAATAGTAATTAAAACAAAAATACAGAATACGTATATTCACAACATTGGAATGAACCTAATAAATGTGGAGACTCCTTAATGAGACTCCTTGAAATGGTTTCCTTAATGTGGAGACGAGGCTCAACGGTAGCTTTAAATTACTCTGCACTGTTGTTACTGTAACCCAAACAGGATAAAAACAGATTTTTGAAAGGATAAGATATAGACATGCTCTACATAGTTTCTTGTCAAGTCTATTTTGATATACCTATAGTTGATATAGTCTACCTATAGATATATGTCTATCTTCAACGTGTATCTCAACGGCAGTTCCAATCTTAATGAAAATTTCCAACTAAAATGCCCACATCAATGTTGATGACATGTTGTTGATTACTTCGTCACGGGGAGTTGGCAGGATTTCTCATATTGACCCACCAATTTACTCCGTTCGCCCTATTGTGTAGTGTTTTGTCATCTTTTGTGTTTGCCTTTTTATTCCGACATTAGAAGTTATCACAACAATATTAACAACAGTAACCAGTAACCTGTTTTTTAGAGTCTTTTAGGTTCCAAGTTATAGATCTGGCAGCTTCTAGAACTAAATCCTAGATTCTATGGTAGCTATGTATATGTTTCAGTTTTATTAAAGATTTAAAAGATACTTAATTTTCTACATTTGAATTCCTTTCCATCTAACATAAGATTAATTTCACAGGGAAACCTTTAAATATTATACTGGTAGGTGAAGATACTAATGTGTTATGATACAGAAATAAGTAGATATATTACTTTTTTTTCATTAAACAAAACTCATTTCAATTTTAATTACATACACGGAAGCATCATCTATGAGCACAAATAAAAAATTTTTATAAATTATGTTTACATTTTTTTTTTTAATTCACACATTAAACGAAACCTTCAAAGAAATGTCAGAGACAAGCAGGCCTGCACAGCTTGTTTCCAAGGACACTAATCCATGAAACATGAAGGTTAGTGTACAGAAGCACAGTAAAGTAAAAGTAATTAAATAAAATAAACAGCTAATAATGCGATATAATTCGAAAATTATTTACATTAATGGCATAATATCTTGGCTAAAAAAACAAGTACAAACAAAATAAATATTGTATAAAGAAGCATGTATTACTTACGGATAGAAGAAGAAGAGAAATGTTGTCACAAGTAATAGAATCCAAGCAAATGTCGCAGGAATGTATCGAGTCTTCAAATCGCATTTGGGCATTTTGATACCACAAAGTTACAGTAAATCAGGACCAGGGAAGGAGTATAAGACGGCAGCGGTTGAGATTAAATAAGGAACGTTGGAAGCACCAAGCAAAGAAGAATTTGTTTGGTGTCGGTAGACTTGCCAATGCAGTTACCAAATTAATTATTTATTTTTAAGAAGACATTTGTTTACTTTTCGTTATTATTAGCGTAGAATAGCGCAATGCTATTAGAACTTTAATTAATTTTAAATTAAATTACTAACACTTTTTGCACAAACTTTTTTATTATTAAAAAAAATGCATTTAATTTTTAGTTATCATCAATTAGCTTCATGTGTATATTTTCTTTCTACTTTTCCAATTTCTATTCTTACACCTTTTAAACACTTTTATTGAATTTTCACAATATTAGTTATATTGTTAAAACAAAAAAAAAATTGCCAATATTATTGTTGTTTTCACGCACTTTACCAAAATTTACTTTACGATTTTTCGCATTAATTTTTTTTTTTCGATTTTCCTTAGTCGCTCCACCTCGTTTTTTCGTTCGCTTTTTTATATACATTTAACGATATATAAAATTTAGTGTATTAACTTTTATTTGTTAATATTTTTTTAAATAAAAACCATATTAATTTTGTTATCTCACGCCTTCGAAAATAATTTAAGTTATTAAATTAATTTTCCATTATTCCGTCATGTCGTCCACACACGAATTCGCTTCAGTCAATTTTCATTTCTGCTTTTCACCTGTCGCCTGTCAATGAAAAAACAGTGCTGGTAAGAGTAAAACTCAAATTTTGGTAGTACTAAAAAGTGTAAGAAAGCGAAAAAATACCAACTTACGCTAAAATTTGAATTTCTTTCATTGCGAATATACGAGCACGTTCTATACACAAGCATTTGTGAACTATTCTATTTTATATTATTTTTTATATTATATTTTATATTTTTTATATTTTATTTATAAAAACATATTATATATTATGTTTATATATTATATTTTACATAATATTTTATATATTTTCGTAAAAATTTAATGTATAAAATAAAAATAGTAATAATATTTCACAAATTCAAATTAATGCAGTATAAATTTTGATATACTGATCATGTCTAGAAATATATAACTAGTTGATCGCGTCTTTTAAAAATGTAACGTTTTATAACAAATATATACAACACTTAATTTGACATTTGGAGTTATATCTACTAATTGACATAATTTTTGTTTATTGTAGTGTTTTTTTAGGTTTATTTCTTTTACTCTAGTTTTGGGTAGCAGCAATTCGTGTCAGTATGTCTCAAAATATACTACAAAGATTAAAAAAACTTAAAAATTTTTAATTAAGATAATAATACTAACTGTTAATAATTTTTAAACTTTTATAAAGAAATGATTTGATGTTTATAAATTATATACAATCTGAATTTATATAAAAGTAATAATTTTTTCTTTCAGAGTTGTAAAAACACAATATTAAATCTGGTTGAAACAAATTTGATCACTTTTAAAATATGTTAAATGCTTTTTTTAATGTTTTTGTTTATTGTGTACGATAAAGTACATTAAAAAATTATACCGCTAACAAATTTTAATTAATTTAGAAAAAAGAACAAATAAATATTAGAAGGGCAACAATTAGCTTTTCTTCGTTAAATATAAATTAATTAATTAATTTATGTATTTGAACTTCATTAGTAATTGAAATGTTCATATCATAGACTGATTTTTGAATTTGTCAAGACCTTACTCTGGAGATTTTAAGAGAAATGTTATTGCTTTAAAATTTTTTTTTTTTTTGTAAGTTGCAAGTAAAAAAAAAATTTCAGTTTTTTATTTTGAAATTTCCAACATTTTTACCATATCTTTTAATTCTGTATTCATTATAATTTTCAACCTATGTTAATTGTTTATTTTTATACAGAATGTAATTTGTTTGCATTATGCTATTTTTGCTACTTGTCAAAACATAACACTTGACACTTGATTGCAACAGTGATGCCAATGTCTCGTTTAGCGAATATAGGTCAGTATGTATTTTTTTTGCCACATTTGCGAGTAACCGAAAACGCCTATACTAGACTTCTTCGTAATTTTTATTTAATAGACTAAATTTGTTTGTTTTTAAAATTTAAACGGAAATCTTTTAAATGTGCAATTGCTGGTTACCTTAACGTTAAGCATGTTAATTTTATGCGTGAAACAACTGTTGTTCATAATAATAAGTGTGAAAGAGATGCTCTTAGCTACATGTATATATTCAAAACCCACAATAAGAATTCCAGTTGGAAGAGAACTGCCAGAAAAACAAATCGGAACAACTTTGATACATTCTACATTAAAAATTTATTTATGTTATTAAATTATTTCTAAATTGTTATTTATAAAACAATGTAAATAAAATATACTCTTTTTCTTTTTTATACAGCATTTATTTAAATTTATAATTAATATGTATGAAAACTTGTAACGTCCACATCATAGCAGAACAAGGCCAATGGTGAGAGCAACAAAATTTGCAAAACAATCCCAGAGTCAACAAACAAACTTCAGTCTGTTTTCAACTCTCGGACGTGTTGTGTTTATCGCAGTGTGCGTGTGGGCAACGCTGGTTAGAATCTTATTGGATTATTTTATATAAACAAAAATAACTTTTAGCAAAACTATATGATAAGCAATAAAAAGCACGTGTTGCATGCTTGAATATTTAATATAAACGACAAGTTTACTTAAGAAAAAAAGAAAAAACTTGCTTATAAATAAGCAAAAATTCTTGTCGGTGACGACATAAGACGTGCAGGTGAAATAGACCGGTTAGATAATCAAGCAAAGGTATATTGCATTTTGCCACATTCGTTTTTAAAATTTAAATTTTCATAAATTCAATTATTCTTTTAGCTGCTTCAGCTTGCATATACATACGTATATAGACATATGTTAAAATAAAAAAATCGATTTTGCTAAACTGTTTGCTGACCTCCGCGTACGGGTTTTCGGCGTTCCCTTCAGCCACCTCATTTGCTAAATTTATCGGTGGTTGTTTGTCACTGAACACTTGAACTTGTGTTCGCTGCAAAATGTCTTGAATGAGGCCATTTCCGATTATCAGTCTGAAATTCATAAGAGAAGAAAATTTACGTTAATGAGGCACTCGGCGTAGTGGTTGTTGCATGCCATATTACAACAATATTTGCTAATCCATCCATTTTGCTTGGTAGCACTCAATGAAATTGGTTTTGATGGCCTCACACTTGAAATGCACATAATTTCGTTCTATTGAGTATGAGAACTCATTCAGAGTTCTTATAGACATTCAGTGTTGACAGTGAAATTGCGTGCTTGATTATTATTAGCAAAAGTTGTAAATTCCAATTTACGTTATTGTTTACATATTTACAGACAGGGCGCGGCAAGTGAAGGTATGTGAGTTCATATCTGTGGCTGTGTGAATTTCACTTAAAATATTGTCTTAATTAATTTTGTTTAGAA